CATTGGGCCCTTGAGGAAGGCCCTCAAACCCTAATATTGCTGGAGAAACTGGTTGCTGACTGACCTGAAACTGTATGACACTTGGCACATAATAGCATAAATCTGGTTTTGCACTTTTTTCCAGTTGTGTATCTAAATTAATTTTTCAAATATCTTGCATTATTATTATAATGACAATGTAATGAATACGCAACAGGTAGAAATGCCAGACACAGTGATCTAGTCATTTTAATGACTAATTCACAAATACATTGCTTAATCAAAGTAAAAGTCATGGATGTTTTTGTGGAGCTGTATTCGCGTTTCTAGCCCATTTTAATCAGTGTTTCCCCAATGTTTCTAAATTGTGAGGATATTTATCCCACCTAAAAACTTACTTAAGAAGGTTTTTATTGTTATTATTAAGGCCTACTCAACAGGCCTAGTTTGTTAGGTTCCCTTGCGGAACATGCGCTTCCCGTGCGGAGCTGGGAGCGCCGTGAGGTCACGCTGGCGGATGTGATCCCTCCTTCCCAGGCTGGCCGTGGGGCTTTTCGGGATGACGCCACCGTCGCTCCGCCCCGGCACAAACTCGCTCCTCGCGTTCATTTCATTCCTCATCTCATTCCGGACATTCTTCGCATCACTGTCCGCGCGGCGCCGACTCCACGTACATTTCACACGGCCGGCCCCAGAAAGGCGACAAATAAACTTTGCATAGTTTACCAAAATTAAAAAGCTCTGTCTATTCAGTAAAGGAAAACAAAAAGGGCGAATAAAAAACAGTCACAATAACAAAGGTATTTGAGGTAAGTTTGCATTTAGTTGAGGGTATGTAAAATGGTCGCAGGTGACCAGGCACTTTTGCGTTTCATTACGTTACGCCTTTCCTGGTCAAACTATACACAAATTTAGTCGGAAATATATATTATGAAACGTTCCTGGTGGTAGAGGGTGGTTTTGAAGCGGCTTAGGCGCATTGTTTTCTCGACGCTGTTGCAACAGGGTGCTTTCACTTTGTCCGCTGACTCGCAGCGTCCTGCTCGTCTGACATGAGCACGAAAATCTTTGACATTTTTCACATTTTTCTGCAAAGAAGTCCGATCTCGCGCTCGCCGTAGCTGCAGCTATTTTCCCGGCGTGACCAGAGACAGAGTCCGAAAGCAGCCGTCGGATGAGATCGCACGTCTGTGATCAGTTTTAGGGAAAAACTGGAATTTTTTCTTTTGGGGGGGATAATGACGGCTCGAAATGTTTCTGTTATTTTCCCCACAGTGGTTTTAGCTGGGAGTCGCAGATCGGAGTGGATCCTTTTCGGAAGTCAGCAGAAACATTGTTTTCCAAGAAGACTTGTTGCACCTTCGAGATCCAGCGCTTCTCCAGCCTTACCCATCGGTTTAATTAAGTAAGTGTACATATATATTTTATTATTTTTCCCTCACACGCTCTCGTGCTGTATGTTGAATTCTTGGCATTCCGCAAATTGTCTTTGTGTAAAATCACGTCGCATTTTTGAGCCTTGCTGTCTAATTTTCCGATGAGTTTTATGATTAACACAAAAGAGATATTCTTTATTTTATTTTAACAACCCTCGCCATTTAGCTTTTTTTCCCCCGAAACCAAGGTTTTTTTTTTTAAGTAATTCGACAAATTTCAATTACGGTATTCAACACCCTTAAATGCGAAGGGATGAAGAAGCGAAGTAATATTGTAGGGAATCGCATGTCGCAAAATGGTCGTGTCACGTAAAGAGCATAAACGGTGTGACTTCACAGTTAATTACTCGGGAGTTTATTTTTTAACGGGGGAAAGTCCGTATTTGGTAAGATCATCTTGTAAATTATTTATTAGGGCTGCTAGGATGTTTTTTTTCTTTTAAAAAAGTACCCTAACTGCCTATGATTCTGTCAATAATTATCTAAAGTGTAACGACTTGGTTCTTGCTCCAGTCCGGGCACTTCTCTTACAGTTTTTGCGGTCGCTGTTAGTTTTTCCCCCCGATATTTTACATAGACCAGTTCTCCAATCTGCATGATTTCTTAATTAGTTTTGAATAGGATCTTAAATTTCTTTTGCGTATTCATAGTAAAGCTTGTGCATCCGTGGAGCTGTATTCTGGCTCCTTTTAAAATCACTGTTTCCCAATCTTTCAAAATTGAACGTCGTCCTTTTCATCTTTCTGTGGCTGTGCACATTTCCATTTCATTTTCTGCGCCTGATTACAGTCCGATGGTGGCGAAGTGCAGTTTTTAGGAGCGGTTGCTGGTACAGGCGGAGAGCCGTGCTGTTTGTTTCTCCAGGAATATTAACACCGGTCGTGTTATTTATTTGAGATTATTTCTAAGCTGCTTTGTTTGAAACCCATATTAGTGGTTTGAAAATTAGCGACGGGGAAATAGACTATCACCAGGCCTACGCTGTCCTTGGGAGAAGCCAGAGCAACAAATTTAACCAAAGGAAAATTATTTTCATATTAAAACAACGAGCGGTAGTTTTATATGGAGCGGAAACTCGGTTTGGTATGCTATGAAGTTCTTCTAACTTTTAAAATAATAGTTTAGGCCTTCAGTGTGCAGCCATTTTACGTAATACTTTTTCTATTGTCAAATCCAAGAAGGAGATTTATATTTTTGTTTAGAAACATTTCTTTTTGTGTGTGTGCATCCATCAGAAATGCGATGCCCTAAGTTTGCCTGAGTTTGCGGTATGCCTTATAAATAACTTCTGCTGCTCTGAAGTGGAATTTATCTCAAGTTGCACATTTGTGCGATTTGGGAAAGACCTGCTGGATTCCAACTAGGGCCTTAACTCTTTTAAAGAAAGGAACAGTAGAGACAGTATGCTGCTTGTTGATTCCCCTAACTGGGCCATTATCTTTTACTACAGTAAACATATTGACTTCTAAGAGACTTAACCCCTGACATGTCATGATGATGAGAGGTAAATCTGTTTGCCGGGGGGGAGAAAATGCCAGGGGCAGCAATAGTTGCTTTGTTTGGGCTTATGCAACCACTGGACCTGTTGGACTGCAGCCTGCATTGCATTTTCAACTGCAAGAATAGGACATTGTCTTCCTCGAACCCGCAGCCCGACTCCCCCTTCAAAACTCCTGAGACAGGGGAGTTATTAAAAGATGAAAAGATGAAAACAAAGGCCATAATGATTGACAGAGCCACTGGCCATCCTGTAGTCATGACATTAAATCATGTTTTATTATTCGTATTTTTGAATAAGTTTCTGCCCCAGTGCATAGTTTGGGATTTCTTTCTGTGCATCTTTTGGGATGCTGCATATTTTTGCAGTCATTTGTAACCCGACCTGTTTAAACATCCTTGCAAATGTATTGTGGTCTCAGATTTACATGTGAATTCTGGAAATGTAATAGGAAAATGAAATGGGCTCCTTCCAGTGTATTTTCATGCTAGCAGTTAGCTGCTTATGTATCTGTTTGCTTGTTTAGTTTGGAAAAAGTCAGTTGATCCAGTCATCCAAAGTATTTAAGCTTTACTTGGTGCAATGGAACACAAAGTAAAGAAAGTCCAAGTCTTCAATAAGGAAATTACATTTGAAAATTATTTTGAACAGCATTAAAATGATTGAAACCAAAAGGTTGTTTTTTTTTATTTATTGCACATATTTCATACAGCTGAATTAGTATTTTTGTCTGAAATTCCAATGGAGCAAATAAAATTGTGATTTATTCAATAATACTCATAATATTCAGAACCAGGAGCTGCTTTAGTTTTTTGCAGCCCAAATTGTAGATATGTATTAAAAAATCTTTTAGGTTGCATAAAATTAGACTCCAAGCAATGCTCATGCTAGATTTAGGCTTCCTCCTCAGTTATTGTGTGTGTGTGTTTTGAACAGTTAAATTTTGTGGAGTGTTCACACAAAAGAGCAGAGATCGCTTTCACACTCATGGGACCAGTGTAAGAAAATCCTCCTTTCACTGGGCAAAATATTTATGTGAGGGCAAAAGGGTTCCCGATAAAAAGCCCAATACAGGTTATTGCCACATGTCTGAGCAGATCTTAGGGGTCTTTGTGACCTCTTCCTCAGATCACTAATGAGTAAACTAATGGTGGCTAAAACCAGAGCTTTTTATCTCCTGTTTTGCTATGCGCAGAATTGACTTTTTCTGAATTAGGTTTTCTAGTTTGCTTCCACAGAACTCTTAAGCCATTCTAAGTACATTAAAGTAATTTTTAAGCAACTAATTAGTTTTTGCAGCAAAAGTTTCTGAGAGTGTTAAAGTTTCTAGCTGTAGCTATAATTTATTATCAGCACAGTATTACAATGTTGTGTTTATTCCCATGCCCTGGCTCGTGGTTTATCAGTGGCTGATGCATTGATTTTCTTTACTGGAGTTAATGGTAAAGGTGAATGCATCTTGTGATATCCACAGTTCATTTGTAATAGTAGTGGATATTGTACACTACATCACACACAATCGATGCAATTTAATATGTTAGTTTTAAACTAACACTGTTTTATTTTTAGAACTTGTCTTTGTTGACTTATTGTTTGCACTATTTAGTCAAAGGAAGTGAAGTTTTTTTTTTTTTTTTTTGTTGTTTTTGAGAAAGTTGGCTAAGAGAATGCAGTAACCTTAGTTATGAAATGAGAAAAAAAAAAAAAGATATTTTGCTTGGATGCCCAGTGGATTGGGTTACTTCTGGGAATGGAGAATTGTGGGGTAATGGGGGAGGAGAGGGAAACTTGTTCTCTTTGCTCTTGTTGAGGCTGCGACCGTGCAGTGTCCTGAGTCTCAGAAGGAAGCGTTCCCTTTTCAGGCTGACATCTGGCATAGTCCTTTCTCTGCACCTGTAGGGAAAAAAAATGCAAATATGAGCATTTGCTCTAGCGACTCGCTGTCCTGAAAATTCGGGCTAACGACCGTTTGTCTAGCTGTGCCTGTCTGGGCCGGGCTTTTGTTATGCCTGCAACAGGCGGTGAAGGCGGTGTCACCATATGGTTTGTGTATGCTTCAGATAAGCTATCTGTTAATTTAGCTTATCAATAGCATTTTAATATGCTTCATATTTGAGTCGCCAACTGCTTCAGCGTCTTCGTGGGGGGAGATAGAAGCCTTTTTTGTTTCTATGCAGGAATCTCCGGCTGCTGCTGGATTCCGTTCGTTCTTATTTCGCTTGTAGTGGAGTGACGTTGGAATTTTTCCTGCCCCCCGGCTGTGATGCTCAACAGCTTGTGAGATACATTTTGGGGGGAAATTTGGGAAAATATGCAGCAGATAATCGATTAGTCTCCATGCCTCTTGTTAAAAGTTCATGTGTTTCAGTCAAACATGGGGGGATTTTTCTGTGCCAGTGAATTTAACAGGCAAAGGCTGACGTACGATTGACGAAAAGACCCGTAGTCTCTTCTTCCCCTGCTGCATTGAAAATGAATAAATGCAGGAAGTTTAAAGTCCTAAAGTACACCATTAAAATCATAGTATCTTCATTTAGAATTATTCTCAGACACTGATAATGTTGAAGCCCTTTGTGTGCTTTATCTTTTCATTTTATGTTTGGAATATTTCAAGGCAAATCTTCTGATTTCAATTTGTCCCTGACGTCAGTGTGAAATATTTAAGTAAATGAAAAACAGGATCTTTTATATAAAACGTTCTTTGTTTTATTTGTATATTATTTTGCATTTCATTTGTTTTTGTTTATATAAATGAAGTGTCAGTGTTAAAAACAACATTATTGATTTTGAAATGATTATAATAGGCAGTCTGTTTCTATTTGAAAGGACAGGTTGAGTGGTTAGTAATCCTACCTTGTCCCCATTAGCTGCAAAGTATTGGCATGTCCAGACAGATGTTTCCACAGACTGTCCACAATAATAGTGGAACATGGAATGCTAACACATCATCAGTTGATTTTGAGCATAGTGTCAATCTTCTATATGATCTATTGATACACCATTGGCGGTAGTATTTTATTGGTGTTTTGGTACCTCTGCTGTCCATAATAGCTGCACATTTAACGTACCCTGACATGTCATAAGACTGCTGTTCTCCTTAATATATGCTGTAGCTGCTGGTTCTCACCTGAAGTTTCTTACTTGCATGCTTTGGTTCTACTTTCTGGTGCTTCTGATTTATCAATAGGTGTCAGAAGGTATCAATTCAGCGGTACTGATTTGTCTGAATCAAGTCGGGAACCAAGCATTCTACATTGCTTTTCATTATTTATTGTCGGGCATATTGCTCAAAGGCCGATGTTTAAATACTCACTACATCCTAACCAGACAATGGGGCTGGTTATTTCCTGACCCTACAGCCACCTCTTTGTATGCAAGCGCTTGGGACCCTCCTTGTGCTGTCATCCGCCGTGAGGAATTTAATACAACCTCCCCTCATTAACTTTTGGTACTTAAATGGCAGTAAGAAGT